CTCAGCACTTTTTCACCCGAAACGAGGGAGGAAGTCCCGTGGACTGCGTCAACATGAATATCGTATAAAACTCAACCGGCTGCAGTACAACGAGTTTCACCCGCCCTCATCTGGTGAGATCAACCAACGAATCTCTTCTTCATGCACTTTCATACGAAATAAAGGTCCCCCTAACTCTATATTTCTCTTTATTAATTCTCTGGTGTACCCGTCACTATGACAAATTAAAGTCAGTTTGTTCAAATCTTCATCCCAGAACTCCATGTCCGTTATAATAAAGCTTATGATGCTCGAGCTCCTTAGTATTATGATATTCATTATGTACTAATGACAAGACTGCAAAGCTAGGATTATCCCCAAGTGATTTCTTTCTGAATAGTCTCGTATTGAATATTCTGTTGGGGCGCATGAACTCAATATCCAGGAAAGGTAGTCGTACAACCGCCTCCACCTCCACTGCGAATCAATTTCTCCTATCAAGTTTGTTTAGAATGTCGAGGAACTCATTCAAATCTTCTATTCTCCGCACCAAACTACGAACTCGCTAAAGAGACAAGTGAAGTCAATCCTTCCACCAACTTTCTACCGAAAACGGTTACGCTTTCACTCCTCTTTCTGTCCTGGCCTATCTATCTACTCCTTACCCTATTATCCCACTGAGGCCCTATCACATCTTCTTACTTGTTTGCATTCCACTCGTGAAAACGTGTGCCCTTTTGTGGCAAATCTATTGTGGCCTCATCACATCCGCTATTCACTTCGACCTCCAATCCGGGCCTCACTCATGGTCCTGTAGATCCGTTCCCTATCTTTCTCAGGGATCTATCGCTAACCGGAGGAAAAGGGATCGCGTTTAATAAAGTGGGGGGCGGGGAGTTGCGGCAATCAAGCGAAGACTTTGTCAGTGAGTGATGTCCGTTTCGAATAAACCAGTAAAACTTTGGGGGCCTGGCAGTCAGGGAGCTGAGCAGACAGATAAGCAAATCGTCACAGAAATTCGGCGTTATGGCCAAAATGTAGTATAAATCCACTTGAAATGCCGCATGCGACCAGAAATAGACGTTCACAGTTTGCTCAGATAACCTGGGTTTAATTAAGAAGAGTTATAGTCACCCTAAGTCCATAAGGTGTCGAGATAAATACTAATGGAGTTCTGTGTGAACCGGATACAGTGCAGTCTTTCCATCATCTTTACTAGATTTTGTTCACATTATACAGGCATAGTTAACATTTTAATTCATTGTCGCTGTACTTCATTCGATGTCCGTTATAACCATGTTCCATAGGCTAAATGCTAGCGAAAAGTTATCAACCCCGGCGTCAGGATTCTTCTAGCACCGCAAGTATGCGTTTACTTAAAGATGGAAACGTTGAACAAGCTC